TAAATGCATAAGAGTGTTTTGATTGGCCTAGAGAAGCTAGAGTATAATAAGAGAGTGTGCTCATGCTATTTGCTATGTTTTTCTTAGGATGTTAAGTTGAGTACTAGGAAATGTTTCTTTTGGCTATGAGCTCCCACTTTCAAACCTCTTCTCCTTGTTGTCTTTGAAAGTTCACTTGAGGACAAGTAAATGACTAGTTGGGGGAGTTGATGTCTTGTGATTTTCATTGAATTAATCAATCATTTCTTGTGTATTTTGGTGTCTAGAATTGCATAAAAACATCATTAGGTTGGCTATCCATTTGCATTTGTCTTTATTAGGTGTTGGAGTACCTCAAGGAGCTTATGAGAGAGTTTGAAGTCATTTTGCCTCAAGAAAAGCTCAGAATGATCATCTTGCGAGCTCAAGTATCAGAGCGGGTATCTAACAGCGGGGGTAACACACCGCTCCACATTGAGCGTGCATCAGAGCGGGTCCTATGCAGCGACTAGGAGGGGCCGCTCCACATCGTGTGCTCTCCAAAGCGGCCCATCAGAGCGACCAAGGCACCCCTCTCACATTCATGAAGTTATATGCTCGAAATGCCAGCGCGGGTGTATGAGAGCGACCCATGACCCCCGTTGCACATTGAGCACGTTCCGGAGCGGGGTAGCGCAGCGGCCCATGACACCCGCTCCAACATTGTTCATCAGACGAATTTTATGTTTTTTTGGGGGCAGTTCAGCTTGTTGATTGAGTCCATTAGGGTTTTTAAGAACCTTATAAGTACGTTTTAGACCTTAATTGAGGGATTATCTTATTTTCTCTCCTAAACACTTGACATTTGGTGAAAGTTTATTCTTTTAATCTAAATTTCATCTTATATCTTGTGTTCTTGAGATTTCTTAAGTGTATCATTGCTTTCTAATCATGATTAACCTTAAATCCTTCATAGGCTTAAGTGTAATCATGGTGATTAGTGAGTAGTCATCTTAGGATTCATAGGTTAGGGAGATCAAAGGGTGATTAAGCTAGATCAAAGGTGTTTAAGCATAGATCCATCTTGTTCCTTGCTTGTATAGTGAATTTAATGTTATTTTAGAGTTGGCCTCTCTAGAATTGAGCTTTAGGTATTTCGTGCCCAAAAGGTGTATGATGAAATACATGAACCAACTCTCCAATGCTTTTAACATTCTTTACCAAAGAGATTTGTTATTAAAGGTGTTAGGATGGCTAGTAGACTTGATTTTAATGATTGTTTAGATAATATTCAACCTAAGAGATTAGATGCTTGAGTTATCTTTACAAATGAACATTCATCTAGAGATATAGTTTGGTTGGGATGGTGTCTAGGCCTAAGGTTGATAGATAGATAGATTGAAAAGTTTCCACCTTTTGATTGAAACTTGATCCCCCAAGATCAATTCTCTTATCCCATGAATTCCCTCTTCTCATTTAGAAAGAAAGCTTTGATCTTTATTGCTTAATTAGTAGTTTCTTACTTAAAAATCATCTCACCAATTGATAGCACTTAGATTAAGCATGGTCTTGTAATCCATTTTGTTTATAATCACTTAGAACTGGTTTGACATCTTGTATATTACATTTAATTAGGACCCTTGAAAAGTCCTATCATCATAATGTAAGTTAGTATGATATTCTTTGGTTTAGGGTTTGGTAACTATGTTGTAGTATTGTATGTGTTTTAAAGGTTGGATTGTGGAATTTTAACATTTATTTTTTTTAAACATAAATTTTAGCTATATGTGTTTAGTTTTGTGTAGATAAAACACTTTATAAGTTTAATTTAGGCTTAATAAAGTTTTTGTATGTGATTTAGTTATTTTATGTGTTTCTCACTATTTTATCTTGCATGTTTTTATTACATAGATGTCATCTTTCACTCATTTAAAGGTAGATCTATAAATTTTTGATATGTATTTTTTTGTCTTTTATATATTAGATTCTAATAAGTTATAGATTCAAAATAATGTGATTATTTTAGTTATTATTTAAGCTTAAAAATGTTTTTTATTTTTTTCCTAGTCAGACATTGGAAGACTTTCCTAGAAGTCTTTTGGCGTAGTCTTAAGTCTTCTGACGTAGTTTTAAGTCTTCTGATGTAGTTTTAAGTCTTCTGACGTAATATTAAGTTTTCTGACGTAGTTTTAAGTCTTCTGACATAGCCTAAAGTCTTCTGACGTAGTCTTCTTTCATGTCTCCTCTTTCACAACAGATCTGAGCGTTTTAGTAAGTTTTCATGTCTGATTTTTCTTCATTTAGAATAAAAGTATGGTTCTATGTTTGTAAAATCAGTGATGATGTTTCTCAAGATGTAATATATGTGCTAACAATCTGTTTTTCACTTTTACAAATCAAGGAAATTAAAAACTTCAATGGCCTTCAAATTCAAAACATGATGTTCATTGTGTAGTTCTTTTCATCTTTGGATCGCATATACTCTGCGAAAAATATAAGTTTGTAACTATAAAAAACTTCTTCTCATTAACTTATAATAGTTGTTCCTCACTATTAACTTCTAAGAAGTAAAACCAACGAAGTCTTTTAAGAAATAAAACCAATAAATTTTGTAATTATAAACAACTAAGATATAATGAGTAAGTTAACTCTTTCAACTTCATTTTCATGTACACATTATAATCTTTGTGAAATTATTTAACACTTTTGAAAGTTAAAAAACTTATCTTAAATTACTTAACATACTTAAAAATACAAGTTTACAAAAACTAACGTGGAAGTACTTCTGCGAGAAGACTTCTTAATAAATTTTCTCAGATTAGCTAGAAACATTAAAAAACATGAATTTTAATAACCTCATAATTATCACCAATTAAGTTATGAATTTCATTCAGGACTCCATGTATGATCTTCTCCAAGAAGACTTCCAAGTAAGTCTTTCATTTAGGTTATTTTTGCAATTGAAAATTTACAAAGTAAGACTTCTCTGGAAGTTTTCCTTTGAAAATATTAGCTTATTTTTGTAATACAAAAATTCTAGAAAACACATTAGAAGACTTACCTGGAAGTCGTCTCGGATAAACAGGTAAGTTTGCAATTGACCAATCTGTGTCAGAAATTTGACTTTCTACGGAAGACTTACATGAAAATCTTCTCACCTTTACATTAAGTCTACTCGCTATTGATGTAAGTCTGCGTAGGTTACTTTTGTAATTGACTATATTTGACTTTTGTTGTGAAGACTTTCAGCTAATTCTTCTTTGATTACATTACGTTTGACCAGAATCACGGAATAAAAATTTGGAAGACTTCCAGGTAAGTCTTCGGGTGGAAGACTTACCTAAAAGTCTTCCAATTTAAATTAAATGTTTAAAGTTTAAATTTTCAATTGCAAAAGTAACTTACACAGATTTCAGTAGACTTAATGTAAAGGTTAAGAAGAATTACTTGGAAGTCTTTCGTAGAAAGTCAAATTTCTGACACAGACTGGTCAATTGCAAAAGTAACATGTTTAAGTTTTCTTAATTTTTTGTGAATAAAGAAAAGTTGGAAAACTTCAACGACAACCTTCTCTAATAAATACACAATAAGTAAATTGCAAAACTAACATATTCTTTGACCAGAAGACTTCCGTGGAAATCTTCTCGGNGGAAGTCTTTCGTAGAAAGTCAAATTTCTGACACAGACTGGTCAATTGCAAAAGTAACATGTTTAAGTTTTCTTAATTTTTTGTGAATAAAGAAAAGTTGGAAAACTTCAACGACAACCTTCTCTAATAAATACACAATAAGTAAATTGCAAAACTAACATATTCTTTGACCAGAAGACTTCCGTGGAAATCTTCTCGGAAAAACTTACGAAGACTTACACTTAGGTCTTCTGACGAACAAATCTGAGAAAAAAAATAAATTCATACCTTCAACAACCACTTAGAGATCTTGCTTAGTTCTCCAAGCACACACAACTTTATCATAACAACTACTCAATCGTTAATGACCAGAAATCGAGAGTTTGAATGGCTATATGACCCTTAAAATTTTTAAAATAAAATAAATTAGATTTTTTGGATGAATATAGATAGAAAGTCAGAGAGATGTAGTTTTTGGGTATAAGATATAAGTATGAATGAGTAAAATTTTATTTATAGATGCATTAAAAGCTTCATTTTGGTTGTTTATGGTTGTTGGGTGAGTTGATGGCAATGATATTTTGTGATTAATTGATGAGTATGCGAGAGTAAAACAATCATTTTCCAAAAAAAATAAAAATAAAAAATGATGTTTTTTGTGAATAATCTGAACTTGTGGAGTTGATTGGGCAAATAAAATATCCAAAAAAATATTAGTTTTGTATTTGACTTGGAGTTTTGAGTCACTTTTGAAAGAAGACAATAATATAATAAATTAATATAAATGTCAAATTTTAATAAAGTAATTAATATATATACATTAAAATCAAATAATTTTGTTATGTTAGAAATAAACATATCTAAAAAGGAAAAATATAAATAAATAAATATTTATAAATTAATAATTCTAAAAGTTAATAAAATGTTACAGTACCAACATTCTTAATTTATAGAGTTTTATATGTAATTAACAAGTTCTTATAACAGGTGACTGAAGTTTGAAAGTGAAACTCCTTGAAATGTCTGAGTACTTTTTCTAATTTTTTAGTGAGTTCTCAGATTAACTCTGCCTACGCAGCAGAAGTGAAGATAAATAAGAATCAACCATGGATAATACAGAGGCTGTAGAAGAGAATGAATGACTTTTCCTTCAAAGGAGTAGGAGCTATAATGAGATGAGTATGATAAGAAAAGCTCTCGAGGACTTGGAAGAACGGAATAGGCGAGATGATATGGAGGCTAAAGAGAAAGGAACACAACATGTGACGAGAGAAGTTGGGAAAGGGCCACCAGAACTATGGCTCAAATGTAATGTTTACAGAGCCAGGGATAATAAAACAAAAGCAAGTGGTATTAGGTGATCTCCTCTTGAAACAGGGGAGTCAATATAATAGCCGTCTTTCTCAAGTGGTTGCAATATTTGAAACTGATTCCAATGATCTTGTGTAAGCTTTACAGTAATTTGTACAGGACTACTATAGACAAGATCCCTCAGAGAAGAAAGAACTTTAACTGATAGTCTAACACAAAATACACAAAGGAATCAAAGACTTGCAGATTGCAGAGGCAACAGAAATCTTATCCAAGTCCAAAATTTTATATTGAAAAAGGGAGTAAAAAAGACGACAAAGTAAAGTAGTAATCGGATGCGCAATAAAAATAGTAATCTTGCGAACAAAGACAGAAGCCAAAAACTAAGTTTTAACTCTTCCTGAAAATACTAAAACACTCGGTTTAAGCTGATGATGACGCAGCTCCCTTGTTCCTTGGCTTGGCTTCAGTACCTAAAGCAAGAAAAATGATGCAATAATTCGATTAGAAACATATTATCAATGATAAAGAAACATTAAGTTAGTGAAGAAAGGTAGAGTTTACCTTCTCTGAAACTGGTCTTGAACCTGCGAGGGACATTGCGAAGATACCTCATCCTTCCAGTTCCGGTAGTCTTTCTACGGATTGCCTTCACACTCCAGTTGTCTGATAACATTAAAGAAACACATCATTTCAAATTCAAAACAGAGAAATGAAATCAAAAGATACTAACACGATTGTTTTGTTCTAGTATCTCTAATTGGTACAAATGATTTAACCAAACTAATAGGATAAACCCTAACGATGACATAGAAGCAGCGAGATTTGCAATTAGAATAATACAAACTTTATCAAATGAGGAATTATTCACATGGCTAACATAAACCTTATAGATGCTTTTCATTCAATTAATCAAACACTATAAAACGAAAGGTGAGAGAGAGAAAGAGATGCATACAGGTCCTCTTGCGAGCTGCGGGGTAGGCACATGCGGAGCAACGGCTCTTCTGGATGTGGAAACTGCGACGGCCACATCTCACACAGAGTGTGTGACTCTTGTTCCTCCTCTTTCCGAAACTTCCCGTTCCCTTCGTCTGCAATCCATAAAAAAGCCAAATCAGCTATTCATATCAACAAGCAAATACACGAATGAAAAGGAAAGCGAAAGAGAATCGTAGATCACCATTGCAGCGAATGCGAGTAAGAAAACACTTTAGGTTTCGGCTCGTGAGTGAAATAGGTCACGAAACTTTTTATATAAACCTAGGGTTTTCTCCTAGCCTTTATTTTATTTGTGCTTTTGTTGGATCTGATGGCCCATTAAAGATTTAACTAGACCTAAAGGCCCATGGTCCTTTAAGTTTTATATTTTACCTAGCACGCATATCGACTATTAGGGTGAGTAGAAAAATGGAAAATTTTTGACAAAAAAAAAGGGAAATTTGCCAAAAGAAAACTCAAAAAGACTAAAAAAGACTAAAAAAGAGTACCACCAGATTCACCATGAGAGTTGAGGTGTAGAACTGTCGAGGTTTGGGACGACACTTGATAGTTCAACGTCTAAAGGAGATGCAAAGGTTGTATTATCCAGACCTGTTGTTCCTGACTAAACCAAGCAAGATAACAATTATGTTAGAGATGTTGGTGTTTATCTTGGTTTTGATCAAATGATCCTTATACCACCAGTAGGTCTTAGTGGTGGATTAGCTGTCTTTTGGAAGTCTTTTATGTCTGTTTCTTGTATTTCCAGTGATGCCCGTTTGGTGGATTTGCATATTGAATATCAATGTTTTCAGTTCTATTTATCGTGTGTATATAGTCACCCAGTACCAAAGAAAAGACATATTCTGTGGGAAAAACTTCAGAGAATTGCTACAACTAGATTAGGACCATGGATGTTATGTGGTTACTGCAATGAAATAACTAATCTAGATGAATAGAAAGGGGGTCGAGTTAGAGCTTTGTCTAGTTTCCAAAGTTTTAATACAATGTTACAGATTTGTGACTTTAAGGATTTACGTCACACTGGTAATTCTTTTAGTTGGGTTGGCCGTAAAAGAAAAGAGATTATTGAATGTTGTCTTGACAGAGCTATGGTGAATACTTCTTGGCTCAATAAGTTTCCATTTTCAATTACTGAATATTTGGAAATAGCAGAATCTGATCATAGGCCTATGATAATTTCTATTGATTATAAGCATCGAAGAAAAGGACTCTTTTGTTATGATAAAAGACTGTTTGCCGATCAGAGATTTGTGGAGTCGATAAATGATGTTTGGAACCAAACCGAATTCATTAGAGGCTGGAATCAGAAGCTAGATCACTGCAGAACTGGGATTATTCAGTGGAAAAGAAGTAATCAAACTAATTCTGCTGTTCGTATAGCTGAGATTAGAAGCCAGTTATATCAAGCTATTACGAATCCTTCCGTTTCTATTGAATATATTCATGATCTTCGTGGTCTTCTCAATCAAGCTCTTCGAGATGAAGAAGAATACTGGAAGCTAAAAAGTAGGAACCGGTGGCTTAATCTTGGTGATAGAAACACACCCTTCTATCATGGTTTGACAAAGACGAAAAAAAGAAAAAAACAAAATCACAAAGCTGAGGGATAAATATGGAGTGATTCACACGCAAGAAGAAACAATAGCTCAAGTTGCTGAAGATTATTTTAAAGATATGTTTTCTTCAGCTCCGACAATATCTCTTGATGACTGTCTGCCTAATATTCAGCCTAAGGTGACAAGGGAGATGAATGACAGGCTTATTGCACCAGTTACAGATATAGAGATCAAAGAAGCATTGGATTTAGTTGGAGCAGATAGAGCACCTGGCCCAGCCGGTTTTACTGCAGCTTTTTATCATCAATTTTGGGATAGTACTGGCAAAGATGTTTGTCAAATAGTTCAGAATTTCTTCGCTACTAGTGAGATGGACAGAGGGATCAATCATACTAATATTTGTCTTATTCCAAAGTTTGCTGAGGCAGTAAATATGGGGGATTATAGACCTATCAGTTTATGCTCAGTAGCCTACAAGACGATTTCCAAAGTGTTAGGACTCAGAATTCAACGCTGCTTGGAAGTGATAATTTCGGAGTCTCAGGCTGCTTTTGTTCCAGGAAGACAAATATCTGATAATATTTTAGTGACCCATGAGCTAATTAGTGCTTTGAAATCGAAAAAGGATTTCTCTGAGAAATTCATGGCAGTTAAGACTGACATCAGTAAAGCATATGATAGGGTAGAGTGGAACTTTCTTGAAGCTATGTTACATAAACTTGGTTTTCACATGATATGTATCTTGTGGATTATGTCATGTGTTAAGTCAGTTACCTATTCGGTCTTGATCAATGGTACTCCCTATGTGGAAATTATACCATCTCGAGGCATAAGACAAGGTGACACATTATCCCCATACCTATTTCTTATATGTGTGGAAGCTCTAAGCCAGATGTTTGATCACGCACAACAGAAAAATCAGTTCCGAGGAATGAAAGTAGCAAGACGGTGCCCATCGGTTTCTCACCTATTTTTCGCAGACGACTCTCTGTTTTTGGGTAATGCTACTGCTCAGAATGCTTCTTGTATGGCTGCTATCTTACTAAAATATGAGAAGGCTTCGGGTCAAAAAGTTAATCTGGAGAAGTCTTCGATCATATTCGGAAAAAGGGTAGATCAAGCTAGGAGAACTCAAATTCAGAATACTCTAAATATTCATGTTACTGGTGGTGAAGGAAAATACTTAGGTCTTCCTGAGCAGTTTGGTAAAAGTAAAGTCAAGGATTTTGAAGGAATTGTTCAGAATATTAAACATATCACCTCACAATGGCATAATCAGTTTCTCTCTCAGGCTGGTAAGGAGGTTTTGATAAAATCGGTTCTTCAACCTAAGCCAGTTTACCCGATGAGTTGTTTTTTGATTCTCAAAACCACATGTGACGATATAAATGCAGTATTATCAAAATTTTGGTGGGGAAAAGAAGAAGAACAAAGAAAGATTTCTTGGGTAGCTTGGAAGATATTATGTTTACCTAAGAAGGAGGGAGGCATGGGCTTTCGTGATTTGTATAGTTTTAATAAGGCTTTAAATGCTAAACAAGCCTCAAAGTTATGGAATAACCCTAACTTTCTTCTTAGTAGGATTTATAAAGGGAGATACCATCATTCGTCGACGTTTCTTCAGTCGTCGAATCTTAAGCATGCCTCTTATGGCTATAAGTCTATTCAAGTAGGAAAAGACCTACTCATTCAAGGTTTACGAGTTACGATTGGGGATGGGAAGAATACTGATGTTTGGCAAGATCATTGGTTACCGGTGATCCCTCCCAGAAAAGTGATTCAGAATTCTTTCAATCACAATATGAAAGTTGAAGAATTTATAAATAAAGACTCTTGTATGTGGAATGTCTCAAAATTAGAGCAACACCTTCAACCGATAGACGTTTGTTAAGTTTTAAAGATCAAACTCTCTAGATATGCTCAAGCGGATAAATTGATATGGCCATTCACGAAGGACACGAGACCGTCAAGTCGGGTTACTGGACGGCTACACATTATTACCAGGAGGGTGAAGAAATTATTAGACCAGAAGGATCTTTGGAGCTTAAAGGAAAGATTTGGAAGCTAAACATTTTACCAAAGATAAAATTGTTCATGTGGCGAGTGGTTTCTGAAGCTCTTCCTACAAACACAAAACTGTGTATTCGTGGTATAAATATTGATCCTACATGTCAAAGGTGCTGTCAACAAGAAGAGACAATCAACCACGTGCTATTTGAGTGTCCTCATGCAATGGCTATGTGGAGATGTTCAGGTATTCTACCTTCTCACGTCTTCACAATAAATTTGGAGAATATTCATGTTTTATCTCAATTCATGGAGTCTTTATCTGAGAATGAGAGCAAAAAGCTTCTGGTATTTTGGATTCTATGGTTATTATGGAAGTCAAGAAATGAGTATATGTTTAGAAAGAGGAATGTTCATCCTATAGAAGATCTTCGACGAGCTGTTGATGCCAATATGGAATGGTATAAAAATGTATTTTCCCAACCATCTGGAGTAAGAAGATACATATCAAGATCCTCAAAAATGGGAACCTCCTCCTTATGGATGGGTTAAATGTAATTTTGATTACAGTTCAAGTCTTCGTAATGATTTGGGTGGAGTGGGATGGATAATAAGGGATGATCAAGGAAAGTTTTTGGGTGCAGGAAGTGTTCAAATTCAAAAGCCGCAGTCATCATTAGAAGGTGAAGCTGTAGGTTTTCTTATAGCTTTGCAACAGATGTGGAATCGGGGATGGAGGAGAGTGTGGTTCGAAGCAGACAATCAGGAGCTTTGTACTATCATCAATCAAGTCAAAGATCATGTGGAATTGGGAAACCTTCTATATGATATTCGATATTGGATGCAACTTCTCCCGGAATGCTCATTGGATTATGCAAATAGAGAGAGAAATCAAGCGGCTGATGCTATTACAAGGAATGTTACTCAACAAAATGTTCCATCTCTGTTTTTTCATATTCCTCCTATTTGGTTAATTGACTTCATGTATTATCCTTTTACGATTTAATATAACTAAACTTTGTGGTTAAAAAAAAAAAACACTATTGTCCCATTAGAATAAATTTCATGATTCATGACCCCTTAGAATAAACTATAATGAAAATCCAATTTAGTCCTTAGTATTTAAATTTATAAAATTTTCTAAATAGAATTAAAAAAATACAAAAACTAATTAAAAATAGGTAAAAATACATATACTAATACAATACGGTATACATAAACCGACAATTAAGTCAAAAGGGGTCAAAATCCCTAAATCAAATCCAAGCTCCCCTCGTGTTCTCTCCGGCTCCGATTCCTGTGTGCTCTCCGTCGTGTTCTCTTGATAGACCATGATTTAGACCCGCTTTTGGTCATATTTTCTATATGTTTTTATTATAATTATCTATGTTTTGGAGTCTATTAGGTATGTTTTCAGGTTCATGAGCATTTTGTGGTAAAGTGATGATTTAGGTGCCTTTTTGTGCTTAAAGAAGAGTTTCCAAGATGACTATAAATATCCGACATAAGAGACACATATCGATCGATACAAACCATGTGTAATCGATCGATGACGCTTCCGTAGAAGTTGAAGTCGAGATACTCCATCGATCTATATACGCAATGTACCATCGATCGATACAGAGCGTGATGAGCAA